AATATTGCTAGTTTCCTCAAGTGTCTCCAAAATGTGGGTAGAATTTGCGTAAATCGTTTTTAAACAATTATGTATTCTTTAAATGTTCCTAGTTTTGAACGTCTTTGGCCAGAATGAAGTCAAACTCGCGTTTTGGGGTTTTAATAATTGTACTTAAAATCAGTGCAGTTTTTTGGCAGTTTTCGTGCAATTTTCAACCACGCAATTGCAAGTTTATCCAATAAACCAATGGAAATCATTAACGATTTGTCCCTCTTTGACCGCTATGAAATGTTTATTTTTATAAAATAATTGTACAAAATGACGCTTAAATAACTTCATATTTGTTGAAATGTTCGTTCCGTTATGTAGAATATAATAATCATCAAAATTATTTACGATAAGCTAAAAATAATCGTGACCTTCCGTAAATGTTAAACCAATCAAAACGCTTTAGTACCGTTATGAATATGGCGCATAACTATGCAAGGTGCTTGCCAGTCAACGAATTCATCGACAAATATGTAGTCGAACAAAATGTTCTGACTTAAAACTTGTAACTCCCTATACCAATATGACTTGAGGAAGCTTTACAAAAAAGTAAGTTCGTAAAAAATGTACATACGAGTGAAAAACATCACTCGTTCAATGAAAGTAATAATTACGGGGGTCGTCTCATAACAGCAAATAACAATTGCAATTTCAATATTTCCCAAAGTAAATGCTACAACATAATAAAAATGACTGGTATTATGGTATTATGATAATTAATCACCCAGTTCGTTTATAAGATTTTAGTTTTGGTCTACTAAATGTATACGATGTATTTGAATTACAGTTTGATTTAGAAGAAATACCGACATAGCTTGATAATACAATTAATTATCTAATTACTACCACAATTTTATAATAATAAGTATTGTTATTTTCATTGTTATGATACATGTTATATCAGTATTACAAACCTAATCTTGAACTCTATCCTATTTATGGAAATTTATAGAAATTTAAATGTGACGTCACATTGTGCGTCGATTTCTTCGGCTAACATATAATGCGTTGTTCGGCTGTGCCTTTTTTATGTGCTGATTTAGGTTGTTTTATGTATTCGTTTTTATTCTGTAGTTAGTCAACACATCGGTGTTAGCATGTATATCTATTATGTAGTTATTTTTATTTTACTGTTTGCAAAAGTATGAATTATTCTTAATCCTAAGGATTTTCTTATCCCAGGCATATAACCTGTGCTGTATTTGGCACAACTTTTTGAAACTTTTTGTCCTCAATGCTCTTCAAAATTGTTCTTGTTTTGGCTTTCGAACTTTTTTGATCTGAGCGTCACTGGTGGGTCTTATGTAGACAAAACGCGCGTCTGGCGTATTAAATTATAAGCCTTGTACCTTTTGATAGCTATTATTTGTGTGTGTCTATGTCCTGTATGTTCTCCCATTGATTTGTATTGTAGTCCTGTCATGTAATCTTGTCATTTTAATGTTATATTTAACATTGCCATAAAAGCGGGAGGTTTGGCTAGCCACAAAACCAGGTTCAATCCATCATTTTTTCTTAAAATGTCCTGTACCAAGTCAGGAAAATGGCCATTGTTATATTATAATTCGTTTCTGTGTGTGTTGCATTTTAGTGCTGAGTTTCTGTTGTGTCGTTGTTCTCCTCTTACATTTCATGTGTTTCTCTCAGTTTAAGTTTGTAACCCGGATTTGTTTTTTTCTCAATCGATTTATGAATTTCGAATAGAAGTATACTACTGTTGCCTTTATTTCAGTCATATGATGTTGAATAAAAATCATAAAAATAATCATGAACAGGCATGCACTGATTCCATCTTTATCTCAGTGAAATTTAGGAATGAATGGCATACAAATATAACTTTTTAGAATAGGAAGACATAGTTATAGTTAAATACAATTAACAACAAATTTGTACCCGTCACAATAGGTATCGACAGATTGTAAGACCGTGAGTGTACATATGTGTATAGCAATAATTTGTTGTTTGATGTTTATCTAAATCAATATTTATACAAAATAAAACTATATTCAAAGATCTAATTACAGTGTTGTATCGGCAATTTAACCTTTTAAAACAAGCTAATTTAAAGGATCGATAAGTTTACTCGTATCGTATCTAAATTTACTGGCTCGGTAAACAACATAATCGTAAAATTTAGAATGCGCTATCCCGTTTGTAATAAGTTGTCTATAAGTACAGCCAAACTTCCAAACCAAATCTTTGTATATATGAAAAAATCCTGACCAGTAAATGCTTTTAGTCACTTGAGGTAACCAAACTCCTTCACTTAGGCGAAGTGAACGTAATTAACTAATCCACAGATTTTTAAAAAAAATTTACATATGGATTCTGCTTGTAAAAATACACAAGAAAATAAAATTAAAAATCGTTTTTGTTTTCTAGATAAAAGCTTTTGAAATTAACAGCATGATACGCCAAAAATACAAAGGATATATAGGGAAAATCATAAAAAATCGGCAGATATTTTTACTTTAACAAGATTTTCTAATTCGTTGGTCCACAGAATTTAAAAAAAAATCGATATACGATTCTAAAATGAACGACGAATCCATTGGTGAAAGGAAAGTCCTTAGCAACCGTGCTAGTTTTCAATCTGTATCCTGTGGAAGTTTGATTTTTAGCGGAAAAAAATAAAAATATTCGGCGACGTTATTGATGTCTACTGTAACGTCACCACATCTTCTACTCTAGAACGCTATTATACCGTACAGTGTCTTAACAAAATCGTGAGTTTGTATAACCAATTTTTCTAATTTTTGCAATTTTTTAAGCGTTATCAATTTTTAAGGAAATAAACTGAAGAATTTTTTAGGATATTTCTGCTGCCAAAAAATAAGCTAATTGGCAAAAAAATTATAATGCAAGTGAAAGAAAATAACTGTAAAAACTTTAAAACTTTTCTTAATTAGACAGGGTTCCCCATCTTTTTGAAATGCTTGCATTTTCCTTATTTCTATGAACCAAATATCGAGTTTGAAATTGTCCCGGTTAACACAGCGTTGACAGAATGATTCTATACATATTTAAATAACCGGTTATAATATTGGGATCGCGTATACACGTCTTTTTTAAAAACTTATTTCTGCATGTTTGTTTTTAAAAAAAGTAAATAAAATCTGCATTTTTTCATCCTCACCAATTTCCTGTCTCGATCGCTTTCCCTTTTCTTTAACTACACCACAAAGAATGATATGATGTTTGCTGGAGTTTCTGTAACAAAGGAAATAATTTCTTGTACCATTATTTGTTAAATATCCACATGGACGACTCCCAAAAAAAAAGGACAACTGCATAGATCTGCAAATTGTCTTCAGAATTTTTATGACTGTAATAAGGTCAAAAGAAGAACCTGCAAATGAATTTCAGCAAATAAAACAGATTGGAGTTTTTGATATAACTTCCCGTCGCACAGATCATTCCCAGTGTTATGCCTTAGCATTGTGTATATTGTAATGTTATAGCATTGTGTAAAGTGTAATGCTAATGATATGCTATAAATGTACTGGTGTAATGCTATAAATGTACTGATGTAATGCTATAAGAATGTACCAAGGGCGATGTTATGAGAATGTATTCATCCAGCATGATGTTAAAAAAAATGTATATACCTTGTGTAATTTTATTAGAATGTACTTAGTGTAATGCAAGGAGACTGTTCAGTTTACCTAGTGTAGTGCCATACGAATTGTGCCTGTATATAATGCAAATGAATTGCCTTTTGTTAATATAAGGTGAAAATGAGTAGATGTGGTATGATTGCAAAAGAGACAACTATCTGCCACAGTTTTTAAAAGGTAGATCGGGTGTCATTTTTGTGAGCGTCCGTTCAGTTCATGTTGCAAAAATACTTTTTTGTTTTAAAAATATTTTGCCAAGTATCATTCAACATACAACAAATACATAAAACTTGAAATTTAAAGATTGAACTATCAAAAAATTTAGTGTCGTAAAGTACATTTAAAACTTTTGGGGATTTCTTCAAGAAAATAAGGCCCGTGACCCCTAATTTTTATTTAATATTCCAGAAGTATTAATGAAAAGTAATTCTCTCATCGAATTTTAGCCAATTCCCTCGTTTAATGTTTCCTCGATTACGAAAAAATTAAGTTTCCCTTATATAAACAATATAAAATGATCAAAAGTACGTTAATTTCAATGTTTTATTTCGAAAAAACAAGGTCCGTGATCCCCAGTTTTTATATTGAAATATAAAATAACATTGACCCAGAAGTCTTTTACAGAAATTTAAAACAAATCTATCGTCGAACATTTAGACATTCCAGCTACCTTAAATGAAGTGGACGTAAGCAATCATTATAGGCAACCATACAGCCTTCAACAATGAGAAAAATCCATACCGTATAGTCGGCTCTAAAAGTCCCCAACGTTGTATACATTATTTTTTTCACCCTCTCCACCTTCTACTCCTACCATATACTCTATTGCTTCATAAACTTCACTTGACAATTGGGAATGGTATTCACTACATTTGAATGATACAGAAATAAAAAAGGTTTGATATCAAAATGTTTTAAAATACACAAAAAGACAGATCTGGCAACAAAAAAGACTTTAATGCATATCAATTAAGAAAAAAATACCTTTATTTTGATACGTTCATCAACAAAAAAGAACATTAAGAAACCTATAACGTTAAAAGTTTTTACAATTTACCTTGGAATATGTGATATTTGAAATATTTCGTCCAGTATTTGGACGATAACTAACATATTCTTATTTCATGTTTTCATTTCAGTGAAAACGACTATATTGTACATGCATTAAAAAATTGAAATGAGAAAAAAAAAATAAATAGAAAATACATAAAAGTTTTGTTCAATTGTCAAGATACTTTTGTGATATTTTTTTAATATTAAAATGTGTAACATTACAGATTCATTGTTGAGCAAATTTATTTATATTTGTATAGATTATTTTTATAATCGCAATGATTCGATTCTTTATTTTAGGGGAAAATATAAAACCTAAACCAGAAGGTAAGATATATGTAGAGTATCAAAACAAATGTTTTACAAAAGGCCAGCTAACGTGTAGAGCGTTATGAACGAATAATCATTTGTTTAGTTTTTAAAAGAAATTACAGAATAAAAAAATTTTCCATATCACAATGTTTTAAAATACATAAGCAGACAGAATTAGCAACAAAGAAGACTTTAATGCATATCGATTAAGAAAAAAAAAAATACCAAATGCCTTGATTTATTACAAGTACATTTAATTTATTCAGTTTCAAGAATAAGGGAATGCTCTTGTAGAAATGCATTTCATTAACGAAAAAGAACATATTCTAAGTTCATGTTTTCATATCAGTGACTCATTTAAAATCTGAAAGAACCACAAGGTATGGTATCTTTTGATCAATCATAGTTTTCTAAGTTTTCTTGTAACAATGTGCTTTTTCCGTGTTTTATGTAACTCGGTTATTCAAATGAAGAGTAACAACGAAAAAAATGTCAACATAATTACATGTTTATTATAAACCTAAATGAAAACATCGTTATGCAATTGATGAATATAGCGTCACAGTACCCAAATTGCACCGAGTACACAAATTGCACACATTTAGCTAAAAAAGCAGCTGGAATCTTCCAAGTTTTCTTAGAGACTGAACAATTTGTATTTTAATGATTTGACATTATGCACGTCTTTCAACAAAGCTTAATATATCTAAATATACACAAAATGTTCACAGTATATATCAACAGATGAAGTATCCATGTAAAAAGTAACATCTGCGGAAACGACGTTAACAAAAAATCGATGTTTAAAAATGAGCAATTAAAATATTTTACAGGCATCCATTTCTTAAAAAATCAATAGTAAGCATGGACTATGGGTCACATTGTTCTAAATTCTTGGAAAACAAAACACCAGTTATTCGAATTTTACGGTTGAGGATTTAAGCATTGATTGAGTACTCCTCATTACAGAATCATGGAGGTGGGTCAACCCAATTTTTCTATGATTCAATATAGATTCAAAATTTAATTAATATCCTATGGCACGCCGTCTCGTCCAGCAAATGGATATATTAGTGTTTATGGAAAATGAGTAGCCTCTTAATAAGCTTGTCTCTTAATTTCGACCACTTAAGTCCCATAACACTGGAACAACAAATCTGTAATACTTAAAAGAATAGCAATAAAGGGCCATAAGTCGATAAAGGACGGAAAACATCAAGGCCAAAAAGAATGGACAAACCGAGAAAAAAATAGCCTACAAAACATGCACAGAAAAATAAAGATAGTGCAAAATAATCTTCAATAAAAATCACGGGTAAAAGCAGAACTATGAAGAGCAGCCCGTTTAAGCCAATCTGGTCCAAAGGGCAAATGTGATCTATTGGCTTCGCCGGGCTCCGTCGTCTGTTGTCGATCGTTAACCGCTAATAACGCATTTCCTATGTTGTACTTTAAATAAGCAGAAAGTTTTTGCCAGCGGATGTATCTACGGTTTCCTTGTATTTCACAGATTTAATACAATCAGCTTGTTCAGTGTCCGTACTTAATTCTAACTTTTACGCAATTAAGTGGTATCACGAACGTAATAATTATGGGGGTCGTCTCATAACAGCAAATAACAATTGCAATTTCAATATTTCCAAAAGTAAATGCTACAACATAATATAATGACTGGTATTATGGTTTTCAGTCATATGATGTTGAATAAAAATCATAAAAATAATCATGAACAGGCATGCACTGATTCCATCTTTTTCTCAGTGAAATTTAGGATTGAATGGCATACAAATATAACTTTTTAGAATAGGAAGACATAGTTATAGTTAAATACAATTAACAACAAATTTGTACCCGTTACAATAGGTATCGACAGATTGTAAGACCATGAGTGTACATATGTGTATAGCAATAATTTTTTGTTTGATTTTTATTTAAATCAATATTTATACAAAATAAAACAATATTCAAAGATCTAATTATAGTGTTGTATCGGTAACTTAACCTTTTAAAACAATTTAATTTAAAGGATCGATAAGTTTACCCGTATCGTATCTAAATTTACTGGCTCGGTAATCAACATAATCGTAAAATTTAGGATGTACTATCCCGTTTGTACTAAGTTGTCTATAAGTACAGCCAAACTTCCAAACTAAATCTTTGTATATATGAAAGAATCCTGACAAGTAAATGCTTTTAGTCACTTGAGGTAACCAAAATCCTTGACTTTAGGCAAAGTGTACGTAATTAACTAATCCACATTTTTTTTTTTTAGTTTTTACATATGGATTCTGCTTGTAAAAATACACCAGAAAATAAAATGAAAAAAAGGAGGTAACCGTTTTCGTTTTTTCGATACAAGCTGTTGAAATTAACAGCATGATACGCCAAAAATACAAAGAATATATAGGAAAATCATAAAAATCGGCAGATATTTTTACTGTAACAAAATTTTCTAATTCGTTGGTCCACAGAATTTAAAAAAAAAATCGATATACGATTCTTAAATGAACGAATCCATTGGTGCAAAGAAATACCTTAGCAACCGTGCTAGTTTTCAATCTATATCCTGTGGAAGTTTAATTTTTAGCGGAAAAAATAAAAATATATTCGGCGACGTTATTGATGTCTACTGTTACGTCACCACATCTTCTATTTTTTTAATTTTTAGGATATTTCTGCTGCCAAACAAAAAAGCAAGTTGGTAAAATAAATATAATGCAAGTGAAAGAAAGTTACTGTAAAGACTTTAACACTTTTCTAAATTAGACAGGGTTCCAAATCTTTTTGAAATGCTTGCGTTTTCCTTATTTCTATGAATCTAATATCGAGTTTGAAATTGTCCCGATTAACACAGCGTTGACCGAATGATTCTATACATATTTAAATAACCGGTTATAATATTGGGATCGCGTATACACGTCTTTTTTTAAATCCTAATTCTGCATGTTTGTATTTTAAAAAAGTAAATATAATTTTCTGCATCTTTTCATCCTCACCAATTTCCTGTCTCGATCGCTTTCCCTTTTCTTTAACTACACCACAAAGAATGATATGATGTTTGCTGGAGTTTCTGTAACAAAGGAAATACTTTCTTGTACCATTATTTGTTAAATATACACATGGACGACTACCAAAAAATAAGAAAACTGCATCTTCTGTTGTCTTGAGAATTTTTATGGCTGTAACAAGGTCAAAAGAAGAACCCGAAAATGAAGTTCAGCAAATAAAACAGATCGGAGTTTTTGATATAACTTTCCGTAGCTCAGATAATTCCCAGTGTTATGCCTTAGCATTGTGTATATTGCAATGTTATAGCATTATGTAAAGTGTAATGCTAAAGATATGCTATAAATGTACTGGTGTAATACTATAAATTTAACGCTATAAGAATGTACCAAGGGCGATGTTATGAGAATGTATTCATCCAGTATGATGCTAAAAAAAATGTATATACCTTGTGTAATTTTATAAGAATTTTATTAGAATATACCTAGTGTAATGCAAGGTGACTGTGCAGTTTACCTAGTGTAGTGCCATACGAATTTTGCCTGTATATAATGCAAATGAATTGCTTGTTTGTTAACATAAGATAAAAATGAGTAAATTGCAAATGAGACAACTATCTGCCACAGTTTAAGGTAGATCGGATGTCATTTTTGTGAGCGTCCGTTCTGTTCATGTTGCAAAAATGCTTTTTTGTTTTAGAAATAATTTGCCAAGTATCATTCAATAAACGACAAAATAACTAAAAATTGAAATTTAAAGATTGAACTATCAAAAAATTAAGTGTCGTAAAGTATATTTAAAACTTTTGGGGATTTTTTCAAGAAAATAAAACCCGTGACCCCTTATTTTTATTTTATATTTCAGAAGTATTAATGAAAAGTAATTCTCTCATCGAATTTTAGCCAATTCTATCGTTTAATGTTTCTTCGATAAAGAAAAATTAAGCTTCCCTTAAACAAACAATATACAATAACCAAAATTTCGTTAATTTCAATGTATTATTTCGAAAAAACAAGGTCCTTGATCCCCAGTTTTTATATTGAAATTTGAAATTACATTGACCCAGAAGTCTTTTACAGAAATTTGAGACAAATCTATCGTCAAACATTTAGACATTCCAGCTACCTTAAATAAAGTGGACGTAAGCAATCATTATAGGCAACCATACGGCCTTCAACAATGAGAAAAAATCATACCGTATAGTCGGCTATCAAAGACCCCAACGTTGTATACATTATTTTTTTCACGCTCTCCCCCTTCTTCCCGTTACCATTTACTCTATTCTATCGTAATCTTTAATTGACAATTGGGAAGAAAATTCCACTTCAAAATGGTATTCACTACATCTGAATAATACAGAAAAAAAAAAGGTTCGATATCTAAATGTTTTAAAATACATAAAAAGACAGATCTAGCAACAAAGAAGACTTATAATGCATATGAAATAAGAAAAAAAATACCTTTATTTTGATACGTTCATCAACGAAAAAGAACACTAAGAAACCTATAACGTTAAAAGTTTTTACAATTTACCTTGGACAATGTGATATTTGAAATATTGCGTCCAGTATTTGGACGATAACTAACATATTCTTAGTTAATTTTTTCATTTCAGTGAAAACTAGTATATTGTACATGCGTTAAAAAATTGAAATGAGCAAAAAGAAATAAATAGAAAATACATAAAAATTTTGTTCCATTGTCAAGATACTTTTGTAATATTTTTTTAATATTAGAATGTGTAACATTACAGATTCATTGTTGAGCAAATTTATTTATATTGGTATAGATTATTTTTATAATCGCAATGATTCTCTACTTTATTTCAGAGGAAAATAAAAACCCTAAACCAGAAGGTAAGATATATGTAGTTATCAAAACAAATGTGTTTTTTAAAGGCCAGCTAACGTGTAGAGCGTTATGAACAAGAAATTATTTTTTAATGTGTTAAAAGAAATTACAGAATAAAAAAAGGTTCGATATCAAAATGTTTTAAAATACATAATCAGACAGAAGTAGCAACAAAGAAGACTTTAATGCATATTGATTAAGAAAAAAATATATTTACCAAATGCCTTTATTTATTACTAGTAAATTTAGTTTATTCAGTTTCAAGAATAAGGGGAATGCTCTTGTAGAAATGCATTTTTGATACGTTCATCAACGAAAAAGAACATTAAGAAAGTTTTTTCAATGAACCTTGGAATATGTTATGTTTGACATATTGCGTTCATGTGTTCATATCAGTGACTCATGTAAAATCTGAAAAACCACAAGGTATGATATCTTTTGATCAATCAAAGATTTCAAGGTTTTCTTTTAACAATGTGCTTTTTCAATTTTTTTTGTAACTCGGTTATTCAAATGAAGCGTAACAACGACAAAAATGTCAACATAAGTACATGTTTATTATAAAACTGAATGAAAAAATCGTTATCCAATTGATGAATATAGCGTCACAGTACCCAAATTGCACCGAGTACACAAATTGCACACATTTAGCTAAAAAAGCAGCTGGAATCTTCCAAGTTTACTTAGAGACTGAACAATTTGTATTTTAATGATTTAACATTATGCACGTCTTTCAACAAAGCTTAATATATCTAAATATACACAAAATGTTCACAGTATATATCAACAGATGAAGTATCCAATGTAAAAAGTAACATCTGCGGAAACGAGGTTAACAAAATTTTTTAAAAATGAGCAATTAAAATATTTTACAGGCATCATTTCTTAAAAATTTCAATAGTAAGCATAGACTATTGTCACATTGTTCTAAATACTTGGAAAACAAAACACCAGTTATTCGATGTTTACGGTTGTGGATTTAAGCATTGATTGAGTACGCCTCATTACAGAATCATGGAGGTGGGTCAACCCAATTTTCTATGATTCAATATAGATTCAAAATTAAATTGATATCCTATGGCACGCCGTCTCGTCAAGCAGTTGGATATATTAGTGTTTATGGAAATGGGTGGCATCTTAATAAGCATGTCTTTTAATTTCGACCACTTAAGTCCCATAACTCTGGAACAACAAATCTATAAAATTTAAAAGAATAGACATAAAGGGCCATAAGTCGATGAAGGACGAAAAACATCAAGGCCAAAAAGAATGGACAAACCGAGAAAAAAATAGCCTACAAAACATGCACAGAAAAATAAAGATAATGCAAAATAATCTTCAACAAAAGTCACGGGTAAAAGAAGAACTATGAAGAGCAGCCCGTTTAAGCCAATCTGATCCAAAGGGCAAATGTGATCTATTGGCTTCGCCGGGCTTCGTCGTCTGTTGTCGATCGTTAACCGCTAATAACGCATTTCCTATGTTGTACTTTAAATAAGCCTCAAGCAAATTGGTAAGAAACAGACGTCTCCTTTCTATTAAATGATTAATGAATTTCTGTAGTCGCACTATCTGTGACGTAAATGAATAGTAGACTAATGTAGGGTTCTGGATAGTTTTATTATAATGAAGCATCGAACGAAACCCTGTAATATAATATCACATTTAATAACAACATATATAAACTTATTGTTTTAAAACATGTATTATATCAATCTGATAAATTTACGTAATGTGTGTACTTACAAATATTAACCAATTAACTGTAAAATACGTCACAGTTTAAGAAATTAACAAAATGTACAATTAAATCTTATCTAATCAAAATATTACTTCCTAGGACATTCGAAACAGAATTTAACTTGTCAAAAGAGCAAAATAGAAATATAGTTTCTCATTTAGCAATAACATTATAACATACCAATAAGCCGATAAAACTATAAACAAACAGTTTAAGCAAGATATGCATTAGTAAAGCAAATAGCAAAAAGCAGTTAACTAATAAAGCTAAGCTAAGCTAAACAAAGCAAAATAACTAAGCTAATAAAATAATAAGCAACTACAACTGAAACACTCATTCTTACCTCGTATGAGGAACAAAGGTTATGCCTCAACGTATAACTACGTCACACGCAGAACTGTCATAAAACCTGTATAACAAATACTAAATCATAGTTACTATGCACAGAATTATATAGTACTTAAAATATATCAATCGGACACAAAAATGTTATAAAGACTCTGAAAAAGTATTTACCAAGTTAACATTTTACTCATTTACTCTCAAACTCATTCTGCTCAAATATTCGCCATTCATTACGTTTATCTTTACACTTATTTATTACCAGGCTTAAATTATGTAACATAAATGTAAAATAATAATGTGCCTGTGATAAAAGTTACGTTAACCTTTTAAATAATTTACAACATTCATTCGCCAATCACACGATACACATTCTTACTACGAAGTCATGCCAAAATAGAAATAGAAAGTTACTCGTGCGTGAAATACTGAATAATCCGGTAATGAAATTACGATGAAAATAAGATATAGACAGAATATCTAAAGAGATAAGTAAGCAAACTGACCTGAAATAATCGTGGAAATTCTCCAATACAAATAATACAAAGTATGAGACTAAAGAAAATATATGAAACGTCTGTTCGGTTTGAACATAAATCCACAATTAACTATAGACTTCAATAGAAAAAAAACCGCCAAAAGACATATGACCAATGAAATAATAGAAAGTGTGCGGTCAAATCAAGCGTAAAAACAATGACCATCAAAATGGAAGAAGTGAGTAACAATCAAGACGAAACTAGTCAAACGTCAAAGTCCGTGAATATAAAGTACAAATGGTACAACTCATAATTAATTATAGTCCGTAATTAATCTATTTGAAAACGAAAACATAAATAAGAATTAGAAATAAAATCATCTTTATTTTAAAGTAAATTCAAATAAGAAATAAAATACTAATTACAAAATCATATCAATATTTATTCAATCATGAATACATACACGCTAGCACATTTCCACTTATGTCTTTTAGACAAAAAACGTTGAAAAATTGCATGTTATTTACCCTTTGGCATACTTTTCACATTTTCCGCTCTAAAGTTAGCGAAGGGAGATAACTACAAAATACATAGAAACAATAACCCTTTTAAAATTGCAAACTTGAAACCAGTTGTTTCCAGTATTTCAAAGCAAGAATTTAACTAAGTGACTATCGGCATCTTTGTATAGACAAGGAAATGCTCATCAAAATCTTTAAGCATGACAAGATAAATGTCGCATTAAAACGTATATTTTTGTTTGGTAACCAGGTCCGATCAGTCAGTTACAAAATGTATGTAATTGGATAAAATATTAATGGAGAATTGTGTCATTGTTCCACTTATCCGTGTCATTTGAAATTTCCATAAGTATGAATTACTTATGCATAATTATTTAAATGTTTCTTCAATAATTTTTGTTTATTAAAAATTTATAATAACAATTCAACGCAACTCTGAAACACTGAATCAGTAAAATTTGAAAACATAATTGGTTTATTAATTGTATAAAAGGAGATGGGATGTTCATAAAGAGAGTCAGCTTTGTATTTATCGCTATTTTACTCATAATTTGATTGCTAAAACGAGTACATTCAACAATGATCATAACTTTGTCATCAAGTATATACTATGTAAACTTTTTTATTATTCATTTTGAAATGAGTTATTCAAGTAATTTAACACCAACCATGCGTAGATTTTTTTTTTATTCTGAAATTTAAAAAAATAAGTACTGAATTTAAATGTAAGACGTTAGATTTGAGGTAAACTGTATTTTGAATTTACATTGTATCATAGGTCAAATTTATTTGTTCAGTGTATGTTCACTGGTGTTAATATGTCCTTTGATTGAGTTAAGCTATTTCAGTTGATATTTTATAGTGTGTCTTTCTATGTTGTGATGTTACACTATTGTTTCAGAAAAAGGGTGAAGGTTTGGTACCATTAAAACGTTTAAACCCGCCGCATGCGTTTGCATCTGTCCTAAGTTAGGAATCTGATGTTCAGTAGTTGTCGTTTGTTGATGTGGTTCATAAGTGTTTCTCGTTTCTCGTTTCTCGTTTTTTATATAGATTAGACCGTTGGTTTTCCCGTTTGAATGGTTTTACACTAGTAATTTTTGGGGCCCTTTATAGCTTGCTGTTCTGTGTGAGCCAAGGCTCCGTGTTGAAGACCGTACTTTGACCTATAATGGTTTACTTTTATAAATTTTGACTTCGATGGAGAGTTGTCTCATTGGCACTCATACCACATCTTCTTATATCTATAAATCAGTATAACGAAAGGAATATTTCAAAAGGAACTAAAGTGAGGAGAAATGTCTTAAGATTTTTAAAAAGCAAACCAGTATCCGAGTATTTAAAGTGATCCCGAGTGCTCAGTCTTCCGAGTGAGTACTCGTTGCCATCCCCACCTCCCACCATCTCCAAAAAAAAAGGGATCTCTGCAAAACCAAAAGGTATGATACTAGTTACTATCATAGATTCATATATTTCACTTCTGCCATTTTGTATTGAAAACGACGATATTGTGCAAGCGTTTCCAAAAATTAAAGTGATCAGGAAGAAATAAATATAAAATCCATAAGAAGACAGAATTAACAAAAATGAAGAGTATAGTGTACATCGATTAAGATAAGGCATGTTCTGTACCAAATCTCTAAATTTGTTACAAGTAAAATTCATTTATTTTGTTACAAGAATTATGAAACTATCATACAAGTGAGAGGTTTAGCTAGCTATAAAACTTGGTTTAATTCACCATTGTCTACATAGGGAAATGCCTGTACCAAGTCAGGAATATGACAGTTGTTTTCCATTCGTTTGATGTGTTTGAGCTTTTGATTTTGCCATTTTATAAGGGACTTTCTGATTTGAATTTTCCTTGGAGTTCGGTATTTTTGTTATTATACTTTTTTTCGCATGTGTTGAGAAATTAATTG